TCCAGGCCGATCAATGATCGTCCTGGCCGATAATTTAAAAATACAGTATACCTTAATTGTCTATGGCGGCAACTTCTTTCTGTTTTGAGCTTATCGTCCTGGCCGATACACGTATCGTCCAGGCTGATCTGTTAATATCAGCTGCCTTAATTAAGAATCCATATTTAGACTTTCTATTTTAAGCCTGATCGTCCAGGACGATGAAAATATCGTCCTAGCCGATATGAGTAAAAACAGAAATTCTAATTCTCTCAAGTGTGTGTGTGTAGGGTTACTTATCATCAGTCTCTTTGACCATTACAAATAGACTCAAGAAGAGAAAAAATAAAGTACAGACTGACTAAACCCTAAACCTACGCAATCTTGAACTGGCTTCATTTATTCGTCCGATCTTCGATTCCTAAAAAGTTAGAAGCAACAACCAGTCCAAGAGAATCAACAGTGTTTGTCAATCATCAAAACATGAGTCATGAAAATATATTTGTAACAGTTGGGCGAGAGTAGTTCTTGGAAGGGTGACCTCCTGCGAAGTCCTCGTGTTGCTTCCTTTTTTTAACTAACCATCTATTTTTTTAGCTCTTCGCCACAGCCTACAAACCACCGGCAGTGTTGGCTCGCCGTGCATCAAGCAATGAAACCCGTATCGTGGGACTTGTGAAGGCATCCAACAGGTCCTATGTGGCGACCACGTGGGAACATCAATAACTTTTTGCCCATGAGTTTGATGTGGCATTATGACCCCATTCCATAAAGATTATTTCGAGCTGGATGAAGCGCTAATGCGCCATAGGCCCATCGATCGGCCATGCATTGCCAAAAAATTCATTTTTATCCCCTATGGTATGTATAAATGAAGATGCATCAAAATCATCTCTCCACGGGTCAACTTAAGAATAATTTGAGACCAAATTACTACGGGTGCGACCATACCAGCACTTGTACACCGGATTCCATCAAAACTCCACAGTTAAGTGTTCATGGGCGAGAGTAGTACTAGGATGGGTGACCTCCTGGGAAGTCCTCGTGTTGCATCCTTTTTTTTAACCAGTCATCTCTTTTTTTTTCTAGATCTTCATAACGGCCTACGAACCTCTGGTGGTGGCTCGTCATACATCGAGCAATGAAACTCACATCGTGGGACTCGTGAATGTATCTGTCAGGTTCTATGTGGCGATCACGCAGGAAAATTAATAACTTTCCACCTAATAGTCCGATTCGGCATTATTACCCCATTCCATGAAGATTTTTTCAAGCCGGATGGAGTTCCATTGTGTTGTAGCCCATTGGTCGGCCATGCACATCCAAAAAATGTATTTTTGATACCCTATGATCTGTCAGAATGAAGATGCGTCAAAATCATCTCTCTACGATGTCAACTTAAAAATAATTTGAGACCATATTACTACGGGTGCGATCATAATAGCACTAGTTCATTGGATCCCATCAGAACTCCAAAGTTAAGCATTCTTGGGCAAGAGTAGTATTGGGATGGGTGACCTCCTAGGAATTCCTCGTGTTGTACCCTTTTTTTTAACCAGCCATCTCTTTTTCTTTTCTAAATCTTTTCCACGGCCAACAAACCACTGGCGGTGTTGGCTCGCCATGCATCGAGCGATGAAACCCGCATCATGGGACTCGTGAAAGCATCCTGCGGGTCATATGTGGCAACTGCACGGGAACATCAATAACCTTCCGCCCAAGTGTCCAATTTGCCATTTTGACCCCATTCCGAAAAGCTTTTTCTGAGTTGGATGAAGGGACGATGTACTATTATCTAATTGGTCGCCAATGCACAGCCAAAATATGGATTTTTGATCCCCTATGGTCTGTCAGAATGAAGATGCGTCAAAATCATCTCTCCACGGCGTCAACTTAAGAATAATATGAGACCATTTTACTACGTGTGCAACCAAACCAGCACTAGTGCATCGGATCCCATCCAAACTCCATCGTTAAGTGCGTATGGGCGATAGTACTGGGAAGGGTGACCTCCTACGAAGTCATCGTGATGCACCCTTTTTCTTAACCATCCATCTCTTTTTTTTCTAGCTCTTCGCCACAGCCTACAAACCACTGGTAGTGTTGACTCACCGTACATCGAGTGATGAAACCCACATCGTGGGACTCATGAAGGCATTTGGTGGGTCCTATATAGCGACCCTATGGGAACATCAATAGATTTTTACCCAGGAGTCTGGTTCGGTATTCTGACCCCATTCTAGAAAGCATTTTTAGAGCCGGATGGAGCATGATGTGCGATAGGCCAATTGGCCGGCCATGCACAGAAAAAAAATACCTTTTTGATCCTTTATGGTCTATCAGAATGAAGATGCGTCAAAAGCATCTCTCTAAAAGTAGTCATTATCATTTTTAAAAAGTAATATAAACTTATAGTTCTAAAACAAGGCTCTGATAGCACTTGTTAAAATCCATATATATTGTTAAACCAACGCAATTATCCCACTGCTAACCAAAAGAAGGGGTGAATTAGTTATTTAAAGTTTTCTTGGATTTTTAATAGAAAACCAATTTAATAATTACCAAATTTTATTATCTTTTTTAAAATAAGCTTTTCAACCACAAAGATTAAATTCTAAAAATTAAAATGTAAAAATAAAAAGAACACAAATATTTATAGTTGTTTGGTCCAACAAAACCTAAGTCTACTCCCTGAAGGCTCCCTCTTCAGGTATTACACTTTTATCCAAAGTAACTCTCCTTTTGCCCCCAAAATAGGCCAGAGAAGCCTTTATATTTTTACACTTTTCCTCCTATCCTCGGTACGATAGAGTATCATCATCCTTTCACACCCTCCAAGTGTTAGTAGAGTACCATTGTCTGTTCACACCATCCAAGTGTCGGCTGACTACCATTATCTATTCACACCCTTCAAGTTTCGATAGAGTATCGTCATCTGTTCACACCCTCTAAGTTCCATAGAGTACCAGATTTTCTCTCAAGTAACTAAAAAGAAGAAAAGAAGAGTAATAATAAAAAACCAAAAGAGATTCTTACCTTTGAATAACGTTGTGATCCCTTCACACTCCACTTACAAGAACTCTCTCTCAAACACTCTCCCACAAACACTCTTTCACTTGCCCTTGAAAAATCACGAATAACAACACTTATTATGTCAATTTCTAAGGGCCTTTAATATGAAAGATAAGAAAAACCATTCAAAAAACCGAAATTTTCCATTTTGAGTGTGTATGATCATACAATTCATTCGTACTTTATATGTATAAATAGTTCAAAAACTATTACATATGAACCTGTACAAAATATTTTTGTACACGATAATCATCCAGTACCAACCATGTTAGTACTGTATGAACTGTAAGAAAATTTTTCTGATTCATCGGGACCAAAAGATTCCCCACATTTTGTACTCTGGACGTCATCTGTAAAAACCAGGCATCATACAGTATGATCCGTTCAGAAAAATTTGGAGTTCATCATGATGAAAAGGGACACGTCCAATTCGTACTCTAAACATTACCTGTATGAATAAGGCATCATACAGTATGATCCATTTAGAAAAATTTGACATTCATCGGGACAAAAGGGACCCATCCAATTCGTACTCTAGATGTCGTCTGTATGAATAAGACATCGTACAGTTCAATCAATTACAAAAAAGTTTTGAATTCGTCAGGACAAAAAGGGACCCGTCCAATCCATACTCTGAATTTTGACTGTATGAAGCTCTATTCGTATAGTGTGATCTGTACTTAGAAAATTTTTATTTCTACAGTTTGTTTAACTACTCGTAGGAGGAAATAACTGAACAAATCATCCTGTATGAAATGAATCTGTATAGTGCGATTAGTTAAAAAACATTTCAAATTTTAAACACTCCCACAGCTTGTGTGTGCGCAGTTACTCAACTACAATCACACTTTCTCAGACTCAATAAATTAAAAATACATACTCCATTTACAATCAACCCTAATTTAATCTTATTTGAAGCCTTCAACAATCTCAAGTATGATTTCCTTTAAATGTTAGTACACACAAACAACAAAAGTAATTCATCTAAAACATGTTCGAAGAAACTATAATTAAAATAATAATATTTGGAATCATCAAAAACACATATGTTGCAATAATCTCAACAATAAAAAAACTAAGTTGTAACAATCTCAACATTAGCGAGGTGAATGTGTGATGATCAAGAAACATCATAAACTAAAATTATTTTTTTTCACAAACAACAAATCAATAACACGTTAACAAGAACATAAACAAACATGTAATTTAAACACATATAAATGAATGCTTTTAAATGCAATTTTTTATTTGTCTTGAATTAAGCATGAATGTCTATAATACCCATTTTTTCCTCAAGGTACTAAAGGTGTTATAGGCTAGGTGAGGGTTTTTCGAAGATGTCTGCCAATTAACCTCCTATAACTATATTGTGTAATTTTATATCTCCATAGGCTATATGATCTCTTATGAGGTGATGCCTAATATCTATATGTTTTGTGCATGAGTGTTGAATTGGATTCTTGGATATGCAAATTACACTAGTATTATCACAAAAAATTAGAATGGTTCATACAGGAAGTTCAAGATCTAATAGTTGTTGCTTTAGCCATAAGACTTGAGCTACACAACTCCCTATGTTATATATTCTACCTTAGTTGTGGAGACGGATACTAAACTTTGTTTTCTACTAGACCAAAAACTTAAGGATTATCCTATGAATTGGTATGTTCTATAAGTGCTTTATCTATCTACCCTACGTCCCATAAAATCAAAATTAGAATATCTTATTATTTCAAAAGAAGTGTCATGTCTAGGATACTAAATTCTAAGGTTCAGTGTGCCTAATAGGTATCTAAGAATTATCTCAACAACAGTCATGTGCGATTCTTTTAGTTTAGCTTGAAATCTAGCACAAAGGTATAGATTAAATATAATATTCAATCTATTAGTAGTTAATTACATAAGTGATCCAATTATTACCCTATACTTTTTCTAATCTACATATTTTTCATTTGGGCCCTCATCTAATTGAATAGTGGAGCTAATGGGAGTGTTCATGGCCTTAGCATTATATATTTCATATTTTTAAGATTGTCCTTGATGCATCTATATTGGATCATCTATTTACTTTACATTAAATCCAAGAAAGTATCTTTATTCTTCCATCATACTCATCCTAAATTCTCTACTTATTATTTTTGAAAATTCATCACATAGGTTTTTATTTGAGGATCCAAACAAGATGTTATCAACATAAATTTGAATATTGTGCAATTCTTCTCCTTCTTTCTTTATGAAGAGGTTGGTGTCTACACTACCCTTAACAAATCCTTGATATAGAAGGAAAGTGCTAAGCCTTTCATACCAGGCTCTAGGTCTTTACTTCAATCTATATAAGACCTTATGCAGTTTGAATACATGATTAAGGAATAATGAATTTTCAAATCCTAGGGGTTGTTCAACATAAAAATTCTCTTGAATCACCCCATTTAGGAAAACACTTTTAATATCCATTTGATATAGCTTAAAACCTATAAAGCAAGGAAAGGGTAGCAACACCCTAATGGCATCTAGTCTAGCTATAGTGGTAAAGGTTTCCGAAAAATCTATTCATTTGATCATGTTACACCCCTTAGCTACTAATCTGGCCTTATTCCTCACTACTATTCTAGAGTCATTCATCTTATTTTAAAAAACCTACTTTGTCCTAACCAAACTTTGGTCCTTAAGTCTCTTAACTAATTCCCAACATCATTTCTAACAAATTTGTTTAGCACTTTTTATATTGTTAGGATCCAAAATTCATCAGGTAGGGCTTGATCTATGTTGGTGGGTTCTATGATTGAGATAAAGGTTGAATGACTAACCTCCTTCCTATGTCCATGCCTATTTCTAACATTTTTAGATGAGTTTCCTAAAATAAGTTCTTTAGGATGACTAGAATAATATTTCCAATCTCTAGGAAAATTTTCTTGAGGTTCTACTCTATCTCCTATAGCAATGGTTTCTACTCCTTGAATGACCTCCACTTGTTCTTCTTTAGG